GATTTAACTTCTACCAGATCTTGAGCTTCATTATACGCCCACTATAATATAAGCATGGTAAATAACATGCCCACAGGCACCATGGCAGGCCCAAGGCTGGGCGCAAAAGGTCAGAGTGGGAAATGGCCAACTTTCTGGGAATCCCAGCCCTTTCCCGTGGCTACTTAGACTGGCCCTTCCACTTATTAGCACATGAAGCCACTGAGCCCATAAAAACTTGGCACCACAGTTCCTCACCGCAGCTGCCTCTCACCATTCAGAGGTGGAGATGGCCCATGCTCTGTCTATGGTGTGTGTACCTACTTTTAATCTGAGCACCTAGCCCCTACACCTCGTGGCCTTTCTCCTGCCTTTCAATATACCTCTCTGAATAAATCTACCTTTACTCAACTGTGGCTCGATCTTGAATTCATTCCTGCACAAAGCCAAGGACCCATACTTGGCGGGGCATGTCCCAAGGGCTCAACCGAAGCCTGGGACACAGCCCTTCTCATGCCCCACATTTGTTTTTCCTGCATCAGCCCCATTCCCACCCCCAAACCCCAGACACACACACAGGTTCTCAGAGCCTCCTACCCCCCAACTATACTATTAGCATTCTGTGTGTTGGTCACGACTGCTGAATCTACATGGAGACATCATGATCACCAAAGTCCAGAGTTTACATCAGAGTTCACTCCTGGTGACGTACAATCTATGGGTTCTGGCAAACGCATCTCACCATGAATGTATCACACCACATAGTTTCACTGCCTTAAAAATCCTCTGTGCTCAACCAGTTAAGGATGTTGAGTTATGCTGTGTGAACAAAAAATACTGCAAGCCATACCAGTAAAAGAAGAATGCTGAAGATCTCAAGTCATCAGCCACTGCCACCACCCCCAGAGTGAAGATAAGCCTGCAGCTAGTCCTCATCAGCCTGAGGGGACTTAAAATATGAAAGGACAGGATACTGGCCCTAGATAGCTAGATGCTTGTAGAAGAAATAATTTCAGTAAGCCCAAATGTTTGCTCTCTCCCGTACACAGAACAGTGCTAAATTCTTTAACTTGAGATATCTGGCTTTCTTCCGTTAACAAGCAATCTTTTAATGTTCTTACTACCTGATCTTTGTTGTAAAATGTCTATATATCCTAGATCCTCCCCCATCTCTTTGGCGCACTCCTCAGAGCAATCTGAGAGGCTGTCACCCCTGCTCCAGTCCTCCCGCCAAGTAAAGCATAACTCTCGACTTTTAGGCTGTGCATTTATTTCATTCAACAGTTGCTAACGTACACAACTTTAATTTTGCTTAACAGTATCTCCCAAAATAAACTTTATTGCCTCCCCGAGAAAAAGGATTCTAAACAAAGATAAAATGCAGGACATGGTCAGGAAAACATATGTGACTGGAAACTCCTTTGTTAAGACAGCAGAAATATCAACGTGGTGCCTCAGAGGACATCACACAATGCAGTCAGACAAAAATCTCATTAAAAAGACCCACTCATATCAAATAAAGCGTTCTAAGTAGCTAGCTGAATATTCTTAAAGACTATAGACTGTCAACTTTCAATTTGCAAACACAAGCAATTCTGTATTTTTTCACACAACAGAATTCTGAATTTTTCATACAACAGAAGACAAAAGATACATCAAAATGTTGAAATATCAGACTCTGTTGTCCCGGGTTCATACCCCTGCCCCTCCCTTGAGTGGAACCCCATTACTCTTATCTAAGTTTCAGGAGGAAGCTGCATAGAGAAAAGCACAAAAACTGATTAGAACAGACTAGGGTCCAAAACTGCAGAATATATGACTTCCAGCCCACCTTGAGCCTTAGTACACGTTCATTGTAATATATTAGCATGCTAAACGACACACCCAACAGAATCATGCCGGGTTGACAATTCCCATGACAACAACCCAAAACTCCCATACAAGGACTGAAAAGGAGTTGCATCAGTGCCAGGTCCAACCACATCCCTGTTAAGACATGAGTACTCCTCCCACTCTTTCCAATTTCCACCCACCACATCCTGGCCAGACCCCTTCACCCCCTGACCCTGCCCCTTTACTTCGACCGTCCAGTATAGTTGGAGTCTCCAAGTGAATTGGGTCGACACAAGACTCAGTGACCAGCCAGGGACAGACCAATCCCACATCTGTCTGACAAAGCATCCCTGGAAAAGCTCTGCACTCAAGACAAACCCCTCTACCACCTGCAAAGGGGGACTGTCCTGGATGGGGAAGAGGCTAAAAGAAGTTGAACCTGAACTCTTCATGAGGAGTGTCTAGGATATCCTTGGCTCCCCTTGCTAGATGGGGCCTGCAGACCTTTCGGCTCTTCCTTCTGGTGGCCTCACCTACAGGCTGCACCTGGGCCGAGTGGGCTGCTATAGGCGAGGGGAGAGACAGCGTCAGGACTGAATACTAACAGAAACAGTGTCCATACAACTCCAACGCCTTTGTAAACACCAATTGATTTACTTCTCAAAATTATAAGGAAAGTACTAACATCACACCCCATTGAGAATCACAGACAGACTGACTCCTGTCCCTGCCTGCCTCCTGTCCCAGCCCGAGTTCTGTGAGAGATCCAAGCCTTCTACCTCCCTGCTCCCTGGGGCTTCACTGAGCCTTCTCGTATCCCCGCCAACCCTACTGCTCTGGGCTTCCTCTATCCACTCCCTAGGCTCTTCCTCCCCAACCCCTTGAACTAGGCAGTCCTGTATCAACCGGTTCCCAGCTCCTCACCGGTCCTGAGAGCCCGCAGGGCCTCGCGCCACTCAGCTTCCATCTGAGCCCTGTAGTCTCCAAACAAGGAGCGCATCAGCTGCCTCTTCCGGGGCAGGGGGGTTCTTTGGCTGCTCAGGGTTCGGATTGCCCCGAGAGCTTGCTCTTCTGCAGATAAAAATAAAGAACTGGTAACCTCCTCTATTCTCTCCTCCAGCTGCCCCACCGCAAAAGAAACAATTCCATCCCCTGGCAGCACCTGCAAGGCCTAGGACTATCACTGTTCACCTCCCCCTAATTCTACAGAAGGGCCCCTCACTCTGCTTAGGGTTGGGTCTCTGCGTCTTCAGCCCCAACTCCAGCTGCTCCACGCACCAGGCCAGTTCCCGGGCCAGCTGCTCCGCCTGTGATGGATTGGGGATAAGGGTTGTGAGAGAGCACCAAGACCCCCGCGGCCTCCAGCCCCATCCTACAGGAACGCAAAATGCCCCATCTCACGCTCCATCCCTTAGCCCTGCTAATTCGAGACCACACCCACCGGCGGACTCCTACCCAAAATGCAACCAGGGGCTCCACCCTTCCCCACTGAGACCCGCCCTTGCCTGGGCCTCAGCGCTTAGCGGTGCTTCCTCTGCAGCGGGCTTCTCTGAGGCCTTCCCGCCTACATTCGCCACAGAGGCCCCATTCCGGTTTTTCTTCTTCTTATGTTTCATGGCCCTGGAGGCGGCGTCACTGCACGTAGGCTGCCCTAAGCGGAGACAGACTGGATGGAACTTTACAGCTGAAGGACTCGGGACCCGGGGTCTGCAGGGTGCGCGGGCAGTACCTGGCCCTGGAGCTGCCGATGTCTCCCGAGCAGGATGTCCTGGAGCCTGGAGAAAGGGGGACACCACGAGGGTCAGGAGGGGTCGCCGATGGCCTAAGACCCCGCCACCGGCGCGTCCTCGCCAAACCGCTCACCGCCATGTGTCGCAGCAGCCGCGGAAGCCCGCGTAGCGCTTCCGGTCCCACGCTGAATTCCCTCCCCCGGAAACACGTCTGCGTCGCAGCGTTCCGCAGGGCGCGGGCGGGTCTGTGAATGTGGGCGGGGACCTAGATGGGCGGGGCCCTTTGCGGGCGGGGCCAGGGCTGCCTGGGCAGACCCAGTCGCACGCTCGCTGCGCTGCAAAGCTCTGGATGAAAGGACGGCGCCCTAAACAAGGGCTGTGCCCTTCAGGCTCACCTTCTCGTAGGGAGGGAAAAGCAGGTAAATACACAAGAAACACTGTCACCCAGAGAGGCGTTGTGCGTAACAGCGGCCCCCACGCGGCGGGGAGTGGTCAGCAAAGACCGCGGAGGCGCAGCACGTGCCAGGCCTGACCGGGCTGGTCCGGCAGCGGGAAGGTGGTCTGCGGCAGGGGCCGAGGTGCCAGGTTAGGTGGGAGAGTTGGGTCGGAGCCAGTCGTGCAGGGCCCCAGACCGCGGCCGGAGGCGGCTTCTGTTCTAAGCTCAGTGGGAAGCACTGGGAGCCGGTCTTGGTGATACGATCTTAGACTTAAATGCAGAAAAAAGTGGAAATAGGACACTTGGATTCCTTTTTTATTTAGCTGAGCTATGTTCTTTCATCTAGGCACCTGAATCCTTCCTCTCCATCACTTACCACCAATTAGCACTAACACAGAATATGTATTTAGTGACACTACTCATACAGAAAGAGGAAAAAAGTGAAAGGGGGGTGGCTTTTCATGACAGGCAATCAAGATTTTTAAATATTTGAGTATCTACTTATTTGTCCCGCTTTGTTATATACTCAGATTCAATAACTGCAAGACAGTCACTGGCCACTCTCTATGTATTACAAGCTGGCTGAATTTTGTCCCCCCAAAATTCGTATCTTGAAGCCCTAACATCCAATGTGATGAGGTACTTACGGCTGAACAAGATCATAAAGATGGAGCCCTAATCAGATAGGACTGGTGTACTTATCAGAAGATGAAGAGACACCAAACACCTCATGCTGCAAACACACAGAGAAAATGCCACCAGGGGCACAGCAGGAAGTTTCCACCTGAAAGCTGAGTACAAAAGCCTTACAAGAAACCAACCCTAGAGGGGACCTGATTGCGGACCTCCAGCCACCAGAACTGTGCAAAAATAACCATCTGTTGTTTAAGACATCCAGTCTGTGGTATTTGTTATGGCAGTCTGGGCAAGGAAATATATGATTTCTTAACAAACAAAACAAACCAACCTAATAAGATAACTGGCCAGGTTGATGATTCACACAAAAAGAGCCAAAGGAAATGGATGTTAGAACAAAGTATTGTATATCTTGCAGGCAAGGGGATAGTTTTTTGCATATATTTTTTTTTATTGAAGTATAGTCAGTTCACAACGTTGTGTCAATTTCTGGTGTACAGCATAATGCTTCAGTCATACATGAACATACGTATATTCATTTTCATATTCTTTTTCACCATAAGTTACTGCAAGATATTGAATATAGTTTCCTGTGCTGTACAGTATGAACTTGTTTATCTATCTTACATATATTAGTATCTGCAAATCTCAAACTCCCAATATAGTCCTCCCCACCCACTTCCCCCTCTGGTAACCATAAGTTTCTTTTCTATGTCTGTGAGTCTGTTTCTGTTTTGCAAAGAAGTTCATTTGGCTTTTTTTTTTTTTGGACTCCATATGTAAGTGACTTCATATGGTATTTTTCTTTCTCTTTCTGGCTTACTTCACTTAGAATGACAATCTCTGGGTCCATCCATGTTGCTGCAAATGGCATTTTATTATTTTGTATGCCTGAGTAGTATTCCATTGTATAAATGTACCACAACTTCTTCATCCAGTCATCTGTCAATGGACATTTAGGTTGTTTCCATGTCTTGGCTATCATAAATAGTGCTATGAACACTGGGGTGCATGTGTCTTTTTGAATTAAGTTTCCCTCTGGATATATGCCAAGGAGTGGGATTGCTGGATCATTTGGTAAGTCTATTTCTAGTCTTTTGAGGAATCGCCATAGTGTTTTCCATAATGGCTGCACCAAACTACATTCCCACCAACAGTGTAAGAGGATTCCAAGGGGATATTTTGATCAAGGTGATCTCTCAGCGACTGGGGGGGGGATACACCTATACCTGGATAGTTACAAAATTTGGTGTCATGTTTATTAAACACATGGGAATAGGGTAACAATGACTTGAGACAAGAGAGTACTATGGAGTCACTGAACATTGAAGATCCACACATAACCAAAACTTTTTAAAATGGAAATATGGAAAAGCTTCATGACATCGGATTTGACAATGATTTCTTGGATATGACAGCCAAAGGACAAACAACGAAATTAAAAACAGATAAATTGGACGACATCAAAAGTAAAAACTTCCACAGGAAACAAGACAATAAACAGAGTGAAAAGCCTACCTACAGGACGGGAGAAAGTATTTGTAAATCATGTATCTGAGAAGAGGTTAATATACGGAATATGTACAGGACTCCTATAACTCAAAAACCAGGAAACAAGTAACGTGATTAAAAACAAAAATGAAAAACAAACAGACATTTCTCCAAAGAAGATACGTTCAACATCACTAATTATTAGGGAAATGCAAATCAAAACCATAATGAGATATCACTTCATACCCATTAGTATAGATACTATCAAAAACACGGAAAGTAACAAGTGTTAATGAGGATGTGGGCAAATTGGAACCCTTGTGCACTGTTGGTAGGAATGGAATATGGGAACATCACTATGGAAAACAGTACAGTGGTTCTTCAAAAAATTAAAAATAAAACCGTCATATGATCCAGCAATTCCACTTCTGGGTATTTACCCAGAAGAATTGAAAGCAGAGTCTCAAAGAGATATTTGCACACCCATGTTCATTGCAGCAGAAGCCACAGTAGCCAAAAGGTGGAAGCAACCCAAGTGTCTGTTGACAAATGAATGGACAAGCAAAATGTGGTCTATACATTGCAACCAAATATTATTCAGTCTTAGAAAGAAATTCTGGCACAGGCTACAAGATGGGTGAACCTGAAGACATCATGCCAAGTGAAATAAGCCAGTCATAGAACAAATACTGTATGATTCCACCCATATGAAGGATCTAGAATAGTCAAACTCAGAAATGTAATGTAGATGGCAGTTGTCAGGACCTGGTCAGGGGGAAAATGGGGAATTGTGTAGTGGGTAGAGTTTTTAGATTTTCAAGATGAAAACGTTCTGGAGATTAGATGCAAAACAATGTGAATATATTTAACACTATTGAACTGCACACTTAAAAATGATTAAGATAGTAAATTTTATGTTATGTGTATTTTACCACAATTAAAAAGATTTTAAAGGATGTGTAGCTTCTAGTGACTCGGACAGTTAAGAGCTGCATGTACCCTTTGTGGCATCCACTCACATCTGTGTAGCAGAAGCAAAAGCCGTGCACTGTGGAGCTGTTGCGCAGACGCAGCTCAGACTCTGAGCTATAATTGGACAACAGCCAAAGAAAACCACCTGACCTATAATGTCAAAGGCAGAGAAACCATTTTCTGTATGAAAAATTGCACACATAATAGAACTGTTGACCAGTACAATGAAAATAAGGTGAAAATATGAAGAAAAATATTGGAAAAACTAAAACTTAGGCCAGTTCATCACAATGTACTAGTTTCAATTGTTTACTCAGAAAATGAGTATAATATGTCTCAAAGCAAGTACTTCCTGAATGCCTTTGCCTAGATGATTCAGATAACTCAGACTCCACTTATCCTAAAATTCATTGTCTACTCATTTTCCAAGTACTGCTCTTAAGCCCAGGCTCCTCAACAAAGCTTGTAAGATCCCTCATGATACAGCTCCTTATCCCTCTTTGACGCCATCTCTCACTACCCACTTTGCTTACAACTTAGACCTGGAAAAACCTGAATGCCTTTCAGTCCCTGAACTACACAGTTCCCTCTAACTCCTGACCCTCTGAAGATGTGTTATCCACACCCTGGCTAGAAAATTCCTCCCTGGAACATTTTGCCAATGGATAACTTCTATTTATCCTTTAGCACTAAGCTCCTCTGGGAAAAAACTCCTGACTCCATCCCTAAACTGGGGTGAGTGCCCATCCAGAGGTTTCCATGGCAACTGTAGCCACATGTGTCAGAATGCTCTGCTCCTCATCCCCTTCTAGGTATCTCATCAGATACTCTGAGACATTCTCAAGTCTACCTCCAGGGCCTGCAGTAGAGCCTATCACAGAAAAGGCAAGAAAAGCAGGGTGGGGGGGTGCAGTTTTTTATAGGGATTTCTCCTCTCACATCATGTTCTGCCACTGCCCTGGCTCTATATACACATTTCTCATCTAACATCCTATAGTCTCTCACCCCATCTATTGTGATGACTTCCTGACTTGTCTATTTCTTTGTGTTTCCAGCCTCTGGACTCTATAATTTATCCTCCACTTTAGAAGAGTAAAATTACTAAAACAATGTAATCAGGCTCGTCTCCAGCTTAAAATCTTCCAATGGATCCCTACTGGTTATAGAAAATAAAACTTTTAACTTTCTTAACATAGTGTACAAAACCCTCCCATCTCTAAGCTCGTACTTCCTCTTCCTGACTGTGTTCATAAAGACCATACCCTCCTACTTTGATGCCTCAGTTTCAAACTGTCAGTGTTCAACTCCTAGCTCCAATATTGACTAGGCTGGTGTGCTTGGGAAAGCGATGGAATGTCTCTGTGCCTTAGTTTGAAAATGTGATGAATAGAATAGTAAGTGTCCATCACATAGGGCTATGTTATGATTAAATGATATTTTGTGTAAAAAGCATACAGCACTGCCTGGCACATGGGATGCATTATTTAGGTGGTAGCTATAATTATTACCCATCCTCTTTCAAGCAAAACACTGCTTCTCTTATAAAGCCTTTATTGACTACCTGCAGTATTTTGCTACAGCTCTCGTAAAAAAAATACCACAGATGGGGTGGTTAAACAGCCAAAATTTATTTTCTCACGTTTCCACAGACTAAAAGTAAAAGACACTGGGTCTGGCTTCTTTTGAGAACGCTTCCCTTGACTTGGTGGCTGCCTTCTC